GTTTTTATGGGATTTCTGTGTGTGCAAATGTGTGTGTGTCTGCATCTATGTGTCTCTCTTTTGCATTTCCTTTGGCTGTTTTTCTTGTCCATTGTGTCCTATTCCAGTTTGTTTCTATTTTATCTTTTATCTTATTTTATGTTGTTAACATTTTCTAGATGCCCGATTGCTTTCTAATGAGAGGCAGGAAGAAAGGGTGTAGATTTGGATGGGAGGGGAGATGGAGAGGGTCTGGGGAGAGTTGGGGAAGGGGAACTGTAATCATATTAAACTGCATGGGGAAAATGTATTTTTTTAAAAAAGGACAGCAGTTATAAACCACATGTGATGGCTAATGCTTGGAATCTCAGCACTTGGGAGGTCAAAGCAAAAGGATTATTGTCAGTTCAAGGCCCACCTGGGCTACATAGTAAAAAAGATTCCAATTCCAAAGTGGCAACGGGAAGACCTGCACCCAGTGTGCCAATTCCCGAGCCTGAGGCCAGTACTCTGGCAGCTGAGGTTTACAAGAGTAGATGCAGGTAAGCAGCCAAGCTGTTATTTCAGCTCACAGAACCCTGCAGTAGAAACAGCAGTGAACACATCAGGGCTGAACTGTGCATAGGGCTCTATTATGGGAACTGGGACTGCCAAATCACTAACCTAGTTGGTACCTTCTGGGTTTTCTAGCAAATGCTTCTTAGATGAAGGACAGTTTTTTTTTTCTAGAAGTAACCAATCCCAGGCCATTGTTTTGAGGTTAATATAGTTCAGCCAGCCAAGTCTCTAATTTCAAAAGCTGGTGATATCTGGTGACAGGCTAAGGAGATAGAGTGACATCTTTCAAATGCAGATTTCAGCATTTCAGCTTCTGTGTCGCTTTCTGTCCCATTATTGTGATCCTAACCACTCATGCCCCCAGTGGGTTTTCCTCTCACGATTCCTATTTGTTTAAGTTGTGTAATGGCTACCCCACTTTGAGCCACTCTGTGGACAAAGGTTTTAATACCTCAATTTGAAAAATAATGACAGTGGAGCCTTCTCTTTCCTAGGTTAAGATATTCTCTAAGTAATGAACTGGCAACTACAAGCAGCTCTGGAATGTTTTAAGAAACTTGCAGCAAACCAGTTAGGACTTTTACTTCTGGGTAAAGTAGTTTTACATCCTGACAGCACATACTGCATACAGGAGGTGTGTGTGTGTGTTTTGTGTCTGTGTATGCATGTGTCTGTGGTCTTTGTGTATATGTGTGTGCATGTGTATCTGTTGTCTGTGTGTATGTATGTGTGATGTGTGTGTGTCTGCATATGTACATATGTGTGTCTGTGTGTATGTGTTTGCATGTGTGTCTGCGTGTGTGTATGTGTCTGTGTGCATGTGTCTGGATGTGTGTGTATGTGTCTGTGTGCATGTGTCTGGATGTGTGTGTGTGTGTCTGTGTATATGTGTCTGCAAGTGTGAGTGTCTGCATGTGTGTATGCATGTGTGTGTGTGTGTGTGTGTGTCTCGCATGCGCATGAGTATAAGACTGCAATCACCCAATTCTTCAGAAAGCCACCAGGGAGGAAGGCTTCCATTCCTTTCTTTTGATCTGTGTTATCACCCAGATTTATCATCACATGCTCTGCCTTGAATTACAAACTCCCTCAAAATGGGGCCACACTTGCTCACCACCTTCATGCTCCCCTCACACTGAACTCATTATACAAAGAACATAGTCCATTTCCCACTGAAGTGGCCACTGGATACTCAGCTCATGACAAACACAGATGCATCCTCCAATGTGCTGGCAAAATGGGAATAAAAGAAAAGCTAGAGAGAACAGCAGCATCCAACAGCACTATAGGAATGCTTTAGTCTTCGATATGACTTTTAATTAAATCTGCATAGTTAGTAAGCAACAGAAGCCAATGTGACAGATGGCCTCCCAGAAGTTTCCAGAAGGAGCTTCTACTTGGCAGGAAGGGTTTTCCTGCTGGGGGTACCTCAGGACTCTTTTGGAAAAGAGCAGACTTGCTTGCTTGCTATATTCCCCTTCCAAGTCCTTCCTTGATCCCCACATGCTCAGTCTACATCACAAGGCCCAGGAGCCATTATTTCTTCTTGATGTCACTAACATTTCAATGACTACTTTCTGCAGTAGGGACATAGGGTTCCCAAATCTAGAGCAAGGGATGTAAAATTAGATAGGTTTTGGTTACTTAATCTTAAGGAGTCCCTGAGGACCCCAGGTAATAGACACTAATTGTTTGCTATTTTAATAAGCTGGCATTGGTTTTAATGAATTGCCTTTAAAAAAAATAAAAAAGTAGATCATACATCTAGGGCTCAGGTCAGCTTTGGCGAAGGGTCCAGTGGGCCTGCGGAGGAGCAGATGGTTTTAACCTGACAGCAAGACCTTCCGGTGCTTTAACCACTGTCTCTGCATTTTATAAGTTGGACGAGTCATCCAAGGGCCTTGCTTCCTGCATTTCCTCTCTTTCTGTTCATGAGAGGTTTGCTTGGCCAAAAGTTCAGAGTCTCTGTGGGCCACCCAGCATATTTTTCTCAAAGAAGGAATTAACTGTACACAATTGAGCTCCATTCAAAAGTACCTGGGACTTTTTCAAGGACAACATTAGAAATTTTTGTTGACTCAGAACATTTAAGGATTCCTTTAACACAAGTGCAGAGACAAAGAAAAGACTGCTTAGGTGGTATTTATGCTTATGAACAATGAAATCAAAAGTAGTTGACAGAAGTTTTGTTTGTAGAGTCACCTTTGGGCAATGGTCAGTAAATTAGGATTCCCGCATCTTAAGAAACCAGACCCGTGAAGATGCTGAAACAGTCCTGGATACTTGGTACACATGATCATTTTTTGACTGGACTGTAGATACAGAAACAACCCTATACTGACTACAAGGAAGAGATGAGAGAGATCTGGGATGATGTACTACCCAAGTTGTTCATGTGTTATCCTCTAACATAATATAATCTAGCCTGGAGGCTCAAGCAAGATGAAGCCTCCAAAACCATAAGTAATAAATACTCCATCTCAGGTATTCTGTTCCAGTGACACATGAAAGAACAAAAAGGAGAAACAAAAGACTATTGTTTTTAAATACAGATAATCTAGAATCAGTATTGCTAGAACCCTCATGCATTGCTGGCAGGAGTGTCAAATAGTTCATCCATGCTGGAAACAAATCTGGTAGTTCATTAAAAAGTTAGCATAGAGTTACCACATGACCTAGCATTTTTATTCTTAACTATATGTCTGAAAGAACTGAAGACCTGTTCATACAGAAATATGCATACAAAAATTCATGGCACCATTATTCATAATAGTTCAAATGTAGACAGAGCCCAAATGTCCTTCAGCTTATGGAAGTACAAGCTAACGAGGTGCAGTAGCCTACAATGCCAGGGCAGTGTTAACCTGAGGGGAAGCTGAAGACAGTGTCAGTGAGGAAGCCCATGGAAGCTCTCCATACTGTTCACTCATTTATTTTTTGTACATCTAAAACTGCTGTGTAAAAAAATGTTACTTTAAAATGGGAATTTCCACAAAATGGAATTGTATTCAGCCATTAAAAAGAATAAAACACAAATACAGGCTGATACATTGATGAGCCTTGAAGACATTTTTCTAAATGAAAAATTCATACATGAAAGGTCACGTGTATGATTTCATTATGAGGAGATACAAGTCCATAGAAAGTGGATGCCAGGCACTGCCCAGAGAAGGACTCAGAGTAGCTGCCAAAAACTTAAGATTTCCTTTTGTGGTAATAAGACATTTTTGGATAATGATAGTGTGCTATTTGTATAGCTGTTAAGTAGAGTGAAAGCAACTAAATTATATAATTTAAATAGACTTAAGATATTCAAGCCTGTCTCTATAATGGTAATATCTCAGTTCTTAATGATATCTAGAAATACCTAAGATGTTAGGCATGACTGTGAGTGATTCTCTTGATTAGGCTAAAGTAGAGACGTGCATGCATGGGTACATGCGTGTGTGTGTGTGTGTGTGTCTATGTATGTGTGCCTTTGTATGTGTGTTTGTCTGTGTGTATGTCTGTGACTGTGTGTGTATGTGTAGCATAAGCATGGGTGTTAAATCTTATGTCATCACAGTATTTCTTTCTAACATTATATTTGTTTTATTTCTGAGATACAAAATACATTTATTCATATATTGCAGGTTCTGAGAATTTACCTTTTCTTTTAAATATGTGGCTTGTCCATCTTTGCAATAACTATTTATATGTCATTTAACAGCATCTAATATTCTAGAACTATTGTAAGGATAGATGCATCACATGTAAACATGTTAGACTTAAAATCTCTACAGGAAAATATGTTAGCTAACTTAGTAATTATGCCTAGCTACAGTGATTGGCATCAAGATAAATATCTCCCTTTGCACATTATCATTGTTATTTTATAATTTATTCATAATGCAGGTTAGAATTGATTATAGAGTTCAAATGTCTGTTAAAAACATCCAGCTTATACATTTCCAACTTGTTTTCTTAAAAGCAAACAAAAAACCTGTCTATGATGGATGGACATACCACTATACTTAATTACTCTCAACTATTGCACTAAATACTCTACATGCTACCTCTTTTAAAAATGTGTCTGGGTGCTGAGTATCTGAGAGTCATTTCTGTCTTGATAGGCAGGTTTCCAATGGAAATCTCTCTTAGAGCACTATATGTCCCTTAAGAAAAAGCCTACCAATTTGTTATCCAATACAAAATGCCCATCCTCCAAAACATACATACATATTATAGAGACCAAGCAGGTTGTATTTATGCAGCATGTATGTATCTGTATACATGTATATAGATACATATGTGTATGTAACAACAATTAATAGGGAAAAAAAAGAGGCCATGAATTTGTAAAAGAGAAAAGGGGAATAATGTGAGAGCTTGGGGGGTGGGAATGAAAAGGGGGGGTGATATAATTATTTATAATCTCAAAAATAAAAGAAATAATTTTAAAATGGAATAGTAAGGGTGCTTACCTGGCTTTATGACACCTCCCTTTGGCTCCTTTTTATACCGAGCTGACTGGACACTTCCCTCAGCAACCGCTCCAATCCTGCATTTCTTCCTAGTGAAGTCTTCATCGCTCCCAGGGCAAAAGCCAATAGGACTGTGCCCTGTGTCCGAGGGAGTCTTCACTGGGGATACCGATTGACTGCTGGGACATCCTGTGTCATCTGTGAAATACAAATCGTTGAGCATTGAGTCACAACACAGAGAAGCCAGCCATGCAGTGTGCCAGGCACACACACGCTCATGAATGAATTGCTCGTAAAACCCACGTAAACCGGGTGTAACCCTCCTATTTGCATGCCTCTTTTGAGTTTTCCATATTTTAGCTACTCACATTGGCAAAGAAAGTAGTATTTTAAGGGAACAATGTAAAGACATAGCTCATAAGCCTTTTTATCATAAAGATTTCTGTAACATACATTAAAAAAAAATCGAAGCATATGTCTACTTGAATATTTTCTATGTGATAATTTGGGTTCATATCTGTCTACAGATTTTAGTTTTGTGTTTTGTGTTTTTTTTGTTTGTTTGTTTTGTTTTGTTTTGTTGTTTAGACAGAGTCTCACTATGTGGCCCCAGCTGGCCTGGAATTCAGAAATCCATCTCCCTCTGTCTTCAAACCACCAGGACCAAAGGTGTGGGCCATCATGCTTTGCCATCCACAGCTGTTTGGATGGGGTGAGTAATATAAAATTCACACTCACACACACACACACACACACACACACACACACACACACACACACACACGATAATTAGCATGCACTTTTGGGAGCTGTTTTTGTTAATAAAATAAAATTATTTAAATATTACTGATATTACCTAAGTTTTTGATCATATGGCCCATCCATCATCTGGTTAGTAGAATTTTTAGAGAGCCTTTGATTTTAGAAATTCAAAGAAACAGGAAGACATGATCCTATTTTAGACACATATATCTAACCAAAACTGGGCCAATCGGATCTATTCCTATATGCAGTAAACTGGAAAAGTAAATGCAAAATTTAAATTACAGCTAAACATAACCAGGGTCATTATTTTTGGATAATATACATGTTGTGAGGTTATCAGTACAGATGTCTATTAAGCAAACAGGAAACTCACATTGTTGTTTCTTATAAATGTTTGTCATAATTATTAAAGTATTTAGGATGGCTGATTTATCCTTTTAAGCTTGAATGAAAATTGCATGGAAATTAGAACCAAATTATTGCTAAAGTATGCATAGTCAGCAATATAGTAAATTTTTATTACTCAACAATTTTTACTAAATAAAATGATTTTGACATAAGAATTACTTTACTAATTAAACAAAAGATTGTAAAAAAAAAAAGAATGATACATACAGCTAACAATCTTAGAACTACTGTATTTTTATAAATATTAGAGTAGCCAGAGTTATTTGCCATTTATCATAGGCTATCTTGGGACTCAACAGCTGGAATAACATCAGGATAGAAGCTAGGGCTGAATAGGATAAATGGATTGTATGAATTATGCCAAGGCTTTGTCTAAAAAGAAATTGCCATTGCTTTATTTCTGGCTTCTACTTCATTTTTCATTGTGAAATCTCCCGGTTCTTGGAACAAAATGAACTTGGAACTTCAAGACAATACATTTTTCTTGCCTTTTTATGTTTTAAGCTTTTGGACACATTGCTGTTCATGGGACCATCATGCTCCGCTTCTAGAAGTGAATGTTAGTGCAACTGTGCCTACAGACATGTTATATCCTTCTGAATCACCAGGGGCAAAGGTGTGCCCCTCCCCGGGCTACCACTGTTCAGCCACTATATCACATGCCATATCCCTGTTCCTTCCATTTGCATGCCATTGCTTCAGAGCGAAGAAAAAAAAAAAAAATCACAACTCTTTCAGGGTACACATTTGCTTACTGAACCGGACTCCAGCAGTTCATACATCTCCACATTGCCCCGAGAAACTTTGCCTTGATTCCTATTCCAAAGCAGATAAACTCAAAACAAATGTTAGTAGAGCACTCAAAATAAATTACCTACTGCCTTTACAACAAGTTTCTTGTGAATCAGACCCATCCATTGTTTCTTTTGAAAGAACTGGGTCCAAGTAAATAAAAGTTTATGCTTTAAAATGTCTTTTTTTTCTTTCTTTCTTTCTTTCTTGAAATTAAGGGATTTATACTGGGAAAAGCAGTGTCAAGAAAAGCTTTAGAAACTATGGCTTATATAAATAGGAATTAGACATGTTTTGATTGGTTCTATTACATCCTTTTCATGTTAAAAAATTAAGTTTTCACAAAGCATCTTTTTCAGCCCCGGGACATCACAAGCAGCCGGGATCAAGTGCTATGGTCTAGATAAAATTTAGGGTACGAAGCTGGTGGCATTGTGGGACAGGCAGTAGCAATTTTTCAGCTGGAGCCCATGCTCCACCTGTCATCAGTATTTACAGCCTGTATCTCCAGGAGATGGGAATGAATATGCAAATCAATCTTGAACTTTGGGCACCTCTTAAAGCATTTTAATCTCTATCTACCATGGTTGGGAAAACAATAGTAATAGGTGAAGATGGACCTTTCTTAACAAATATGTATCAAATTCTGGCACTGGAAGGGCTCACACTTATTGTACCCAGTCTGCATCCTGGCGCAACTACAAAGAAGCCACAGGGAATTTGTGGACATCACTTCATTTGCATGAGAAGTCTAAGTAAATGCACAGGAAAAAAAAAAAAAGAATGAAAAATTCATTAAGTGCTTACAGTGGCCTATGCTATCTGCCTGCTCTGTACTGGAACCAACACTAACAAAAGAGTGTAGCTGTGAAGGAGTAGGCCTGTTATGTTTGCTATGGTACACAGGGCACACTGTGTCATTCAAGGAAGGGCCCAGCACTGACTTAGAACTTCATGTGCCAAAGACTCATCTGGTCACTTGTGGTACTGAGGGATTTCCTCTGTGTAGTGCTGAAGAAGTAATATCCTTTCAACAGGGCCTCCTGGGCTATTTCTCTGCTCTAACCAGTTTGGGCTAAGAGGATACTCATTTTCAAAACCCATGCAAATATCCTCAGTTATTGTGTACAATGACACTAAGAAATGTCAAAGCCAAGCTGCCGTCCTCTGGATATTTGGATTCAATTCTACAGTTGTGTACTGACACTAAGGTCAAGCACACATGAAAAAGGCATGATTATTGGAGAATAGAGAGGGGGTCAGTGGTTAAGAACATTTGCTGCTCTTGTAGGACCAAGGTTGTATTCCCAGTACCCATGTGACAGTTCACAATTGTCTATATACCTCTAATTCCATGGAATCTGTTCCTCTCTTCTGATCCATTTGGGTACCAGATACACACGCACACACACAAAACATTCTTACACATATAATAAAATAAATAAATCTTTTTTAAAAAGCAATGTAGCTATTGAATCCACTGTACTTTATTAAGGAGAGTGAACCTTGTTTCCCACTGCTACTGACTGCTAAACATGCCTGTTTAATCTACAGACTGAAAACTATGGCGTTTATAATTATAACATTTATTAGCATGAAGAAATTAATTGCAAATACTTCTAAATAATAGAAATGAGGGAACTATTTCTGGGCAGGAAATGGAAAACATCCTGACAGATTCAGATTGCTGGGAGGATGCCTGTGATAGGTCATGGCTTCAGGAGGAGACTGTAGTCAATCATTGGTCTGTGGGAGGAGGAGGGATTCAAAATACACACACACACACACACACACACACACACACACACACACACACACGACTCTGATGTGACTGAATGTTTACATTTCCTTTGACTCTAGGTAAGCATGCCTGGTCTAGAGTGCTTAATTAAAAAAAAAAAAAAAAACTATTAGCCAAAAAAGTTCAAGAGAGGGAAGGGTTTATTTCAGCTTACACTTCCAGGTCACTGGGTCATTGAGGGCAGTCAGGGCAAGAAGTCAAGCAGAAAATATGGAAGATTGCTTACTGACTTACTGGCTCATGCTCAGCTGGCTTGCTTATGCAACCCAGGATGACCTGCTTAGGGATGGCACAGTGGGCTGGACCCTCCTACATCAGTTAGCAGTCAAGAAAATGTTCCCAGACCAGTTTGACCAGGTGACTCTTCAGATGAGGTTCACTCATCTCCCATAAGTCTAGGCTGTGTCAGGTTGTCAATAAAAGCTAACAAGCAGAGCTCCTGTATTTTAAAGAACCAGGGTCACTTTACACAATAAAATTAATTTAAAAGTATGGGGCCATTTCCTTCATTGAGAAAGGATTTGAACTCCTAACTGGATGGGTCCACGATGGCCACTGATGGAAGTTAGGCAAAAGCAATCCTGCTTAAGTCTGTACCTAAGTGATAGCCACCTGCAATGAAGCAGGATAACTGAAAATTTCTATTTACTTAAGAAAAGGGTCCACCAAGCTTGCTGTCATGTGCCTAAAATCAGAGCACCTAAGATGCTAAGACAGGGGCCAGGGATGGTAGTGAACACCTTTACTCCCAACACTCTGGAGGCAGAGGCAGAGGCAGGTGGCTTTCTGAGTTCAAGGCCAACCAGGGCTACATAGTGAGTTTCAGGATAGCCAGGGCAATGTAGAGAGACCTTGTGCCAAAAAAGCAAAAAAACAAAGAAAGAAAGAATAAAGAGGCTAAGGTAGGAGCATTTTGGGCAGACACGGGGTGGGATTTGTGAATGTTCATTTATTTAGAATCCATCCATATGGAATGAAGAACAACGGAAAAACTATGGAGAGCCTCAGAAACCCTTGGAAGTCACTGCCTATATAAAGTATGGTAATAAATATAGAAATACACCTATAGAGTAGTTTCCACATTGTTGACTGGGAGAAAAGGTCTGTAAAGAGAGGCAGGGGAAGCTGGAAGCCTTAATGTTAAAATCCTAATTGTGTAGGGGAAACCCATTTCCCTTTCTAAGAACATGCAGTATAGTTAAAATTGTATGACTACCTACAGTTATTAAAAAACAGTTTATGTCTATGTATTTTATAAAATAATTTTAATCTTATTTTAAATGTGCTGTGGGAATTTACACAATTAAAGGAATTCTAAAAAATCGTGTGTTGGTAATTAACATTTTTAATTGCATTTTACCATAAATAGTAAACAAAATATTTTCTTGTAATTGACACCCAGATTAGGATGAACTATTTGGCCAGTTTGACT